AATGGAATCGTAAAAAAAAAACAGGCTGAATTATAAGTACGATTAAAAAGGCAGGACTTTGAATTCGATTTAAAACTAGAAATGCCACCCTGTGGTTGCATGTGTCCGCCAACCAGTGCAGTTTCAATCTGTTTTTTCCAGATACATATGAGGTCATCGAGACCTTTGACCAGTGAAATCGGTTCATGTTCAAGAGGCCAGAGACATGTTTTGTGAGGCTACCTTGACCTCATCAGCTCATCAGTTAAATTGTGAGTCTGAGGGAAAATTTGTGCCAATTTTGTGCCAAGTTCTTAAAATAGTGTGTCAGGAGGAACATTAGCCTTTGACTTCCAATTTTAACTTTTTTACCAAACTTGTATAAATTCCCTCAAGGCATTCTTGAGATATCGTGCGCCCAAGAGTGGGACGGAAGGACGGACAACCTGCAAACATAATGCCTCTGGCTACTGGCTGTAGCCGGTGCAGCAACAGAGAAATCTAGGTCTCCTTTAGTTTATTTGATGACAAAGGGGGACTAAAAGGATTTGTTTTGAGGATGGCCAGAGTAACCAACAGGGGTATAACATAGAACCAGAAGATATGTCATATAACAAGGGTCTAGGCCCTTAAGAGCTTTTTAAACAAGTAGTAATATTTTCATATCAATTCTGTATTTAACTGGTAACCAATGTAGGTTTGCCAGGACGGATGTTATATATCGTCAATTGCTTGTGGTTTGGAAGCATTGCAATCACTGTCTATGATATGCTTTATTTCCCAGGGGCACGGTGTGAAGTTAACATCAACGAGTGTGTTTCAAACCCATGCCAAAATAGTGGGAGATGTTTTGATGGAGCCAATCGATACCACTGCATGTGTCCTGATGGCTTCATTGGGCTCCACTGTGAGACTAACCTGGATGAATGTGTGTCAGCACCTTGTCTTCATGGAAGGTACAGATTTTTCTTTCCGTCATTTCAAATAGAAACACAGCAAATCGTGCAGAAATGGCCCAGACTCATTTTTAATTACACTCCCTGGCAGCGCAGCGAGCTGAGACATAATGTATGTCACACGTGCTAATGTGATGCACTCATAGGTTGTCTCAATTACAGTCATTACATCCTTTGAAGGGGAAACACATTCAGTCAAAAGATTACATCTCTCTCCGTACTAGAAAAGACCTGGATATACAAAGCCCCTTTAGTTCATTCTAAACAGTCACTGCCTATAATTTTTGATGGATCAGTACTGACCCCGTGTGTTTTGGCCCTTTTCAGCTGCGTGGATGGGATCAATTTGTTCTCCTGTGTGTGCGAGTCTGGATGGACTGGCAGCAGATGTGAAACAAACATCGACGTGAGTGGAGCCTGATTAATAGACCTGCTGTGTGTTCAAGAGCAATGTCAAAAGAATTTAGTCAACTTTGTGTGGCCTTTGGTTTCACCGACTCCATTGATTTTCCCACAAGACAAGTCATTTGATCCACCAGGATCATGTAAGCATTGTACAAACACCTGATTAAAAGAAATTGCTTCGTCTAATGTCTAATTGATTCAAACCACAGCTCGAGCTGGACTCTAGAGATAAAACACAGAGTTGCTTACAAGGTCCCTGAATGGAAATTCAGATCATCTGCTTTTTAACTGCTAACAATCCATCTTAAACTGAGAATTTAATGTTTTCTTAAGACACCAATTTTATGGTTATATCTGTCAAAATATGTATTATTATTGAAACAGTGCCTCATTCTTTGTAAATGATTGATGTGTTTTCATTACCAGGAGTGTGCTTCCGGGCCCTGTTTGAATGGAGGCTCGTGCGTGGATCTCACTGATAAGTACGCATGCTTCTGTCAGGATGGTTACACAGGGAAAACCTGTGAGATCGATGTCGACGTCTGCAAAGAGGCCGCTGATAATGTCTCATTGTGTTTCAATGGAGCCACCTGCGTCGACCGCGAAGGATCAAACTTTACATGCAGGTGAGTTGGTCCGCAATTAGAAATATTTGTTTTGATGTAATGACACTGACATATTGTCCCTGAATGACACGAACGATAACTCATAAATCACTCATATATCCCTCATGACATGATGAATCAACATAGCCTGGATTTTATGGGTTTATGTGAATCAAGAAGAGGAACAAGCTGCTATGACTCCAGATTGTTGAGTGATGAACACAATGAACATCTCAGCTTTTACCCCGTTTAAATGGTCTTATCATCTATTTTTTTATGCGTTTTCTACCATGTAGGTTGGAATTTTTTTGTATTAATGTTGATGTTGAACTGAGAAATTCAGTAAACCTCCTATTTATTCTACTGCTTGTACACAACATGCTGATCTACTCACCTCTATGGGTGCACGCTTGACCTAGTTTTGACACAAAGCCTATCTTTTTCATATCTAGTTATCTCGGCACATCTGCCTGTCCTTTCACATCACTGCTCCCTTACTTTTAAGGTTACAGTGTCTAGACGTTGTATTAACCCCTCTGAAACCTGCGTTAGCGATCATATTGACTCATCTACCACTTATGCACTTGCTGAGCATCTGGAGTCTGTTGTAAACACCACTGCAATAACAGGTTCACTGGAAATTATAATCTCTCCCCTTGCGATCGAGACTCTTAATGTCGAAAACAAAAATTCAGGAAACTTGAACACAAAAGGAGAAAAATCAGAAAAAACTTTTTGGCTTGTGCTGTTTAATTGCCTGCTATTCATGCTGCTAGAAACTCATTTCTCTCGTTGGATCCATTCAAATTGCCCAAAATTTCTCTTGGACACCGTCATCAAACCATCTTGTATAAGTATAGTGCAATATATAGATATGATATGAATATTTTCAATGAATATGACATTCATTGAAAAACAGAGACAAAAAAACAATTATACGATAAAACACAATTAAAGAGGTGACCAGTTCTGTTGAGGTAAAAGTGCATTTAAAAAATTTAAAAAAACATGTTTATGTGATCCCAATCCTTAATTTATGGAGGTTCCTGTCCTCACTATTACTATAAATAATAAACAGCTCCCTCACTAGTGGAATTATGCCTTTAACTATTAAAACACTATTAAGACAGGCCACTCCTGAAAAAGCTTAACCTGAACCCTGATTTCATCAGCAACTATGGACCCTTTACAAATCTGCCATTACCTTCTAAACTCTGTGTAAAAAAAAATAGTGGCTCAGCAACTCATAGATCACCTTCTATCCGATAATCAGTTTGAAACCTCATCAATCCAGCTTCAGAAACTTCCACTGCACAAAAACTGCTTAGACAAAAGTTGTAAATGATTTATGAATTGATTCAGACCAACCTTTGCCTCAATACTTGTGCTCTGAGACCTCAGTACTGCTTTCAATACAATTGATCAGCACATACTATTAGACTACCTATAAAGTTTTACTGGTCCTACTTACACTGCACTTTGTTCTACACAGCCAGTGTTCATCGGATCATGCTAAGGTCAGTTATGGTGTGCCACAAGGATCTGTGCTTGGTCCTATTCTTTTTTTTTTTTTTATTTACATTCCTTTGCAGATGTATTATTAATTAATTAATTAATTAATAAAATTACTATAATATAAGATATGTAAAGCTGATTATCAAATGTGCAGTGGAAAGTAAATTATACATATAATGTATTTTAGTCATTTTATTATATCTTAAAATCTGCAAAAAAGGGGTTTCATTAGTTGTTCCATTACTCTATATTAATGTAATAAATATACAGATGGCAATTAGAGGGTAGTATATTTGAAAAATGAAGTTATAATCGATCACTATATAGCAGCTTCCAGTGATCAATTTGACCTGGACAGATGTGATCACTGTATGCGATTTAGGTAAGCCAGAATAAATGTCGATCCCCATTCTTCCCCATCTGCATGCCGAAGTGTCCTTGGCCAAGATGCTGAACCTTTAATTGCCCCTCATATAACAAAATAAGTGCTGCCAATAGATGCCCTGTATGAATGTGTGTGTGAATGGGTGAATGGCAAACTGTGCTGTAAAGCCCTCTTAGTGGTCATCAAGACTAGAAAAGCTCCACATAAATGTGTGTAAATAAATATATTCAAGAATATTTCAAAGTCTTTGACAGCTGAAAAAGGTTTTGCTGTTCCAGGAATTCTTCAAGTCTCCAATTAGACTCATTGTTTAGCGACAATGCAGTGTAGGCCTTGATCTGTGAACTTTACAGTCACAGTCCTCTGGTGGGTTGCCAGTGAGTCATTACTTTTTAATTGTTGACATGTTCTCCCCTGAGTGATGAAGTGTGTCTGAAAACAAGGTGAATGTGTTAGGAGTGTGCAGGTTTGACACAGTAGCTCGCTGTATACCTTTAAGTTAATTCCAGTGTCAAACCTTGTGCTGCTGTATGCTGATTTAAAGGATCCTAGTCTACAACTCCAAACAAGATGCTCCTCTTCATACTGTTATATATTGGTGCACAGGACTGACTCAGCTCACTGCTTTTTATAAGGAGGAAATTTAAATTGTTTACTGTAGATACATGTGCTCACCAATGACAGAGTATTATACATGCACTGCAGTACTGCTGATCTGCAGCTGGGTGATTGTGCATTGTTTGATTATATCTCTCTTAATTTAAATAACATTTGTATATAGACTTAAAATTGTTGCACTATTAACCAGTGTTTGGCCTCATTGTTTAAAGAGTGAGTCATAGATGGACATTCAACATTTCCCAGTCTATTGCTGTGTCAACACTTTTCTGATTAAAAAGATAAACATACAATACCAGACATCATGACAACAAGATTAGCTGTTGTACATTGTTAGTCCATCAACTGTCAGTTAAACGATTTGTTGGTGAATGACAAAAAGTTCAATTTTTATTTAGATTTACAACTGTATTAGCAGATTTTTTAAAGCCTGCCGCACCCTAGATCAGCTATAGGTCAGATGCAGCTCTCCTAATGACTGTAGGGGAGTTTCCCATTTGAGTCTGGTCTAAAGAGATTATCTTTCCAAATGATCCTGTGTTGTGAGGGTTCACAGACAATCGTATGAGTGGACGTTAATATCAGACAAGGTTAATATTTAGGATTCCAAAATTCTGTGTATGAAAGGAACAGTGTTTGGACAAGCAGAAATTCGCAATAGCCAATGAGAGGGAGCTGATTGGCAATCATCACCAATGGGATATTGTATATTTGTGTTCGGAACCAAACAATGACTGCGAGTTTAAAGTTTCCATGAGTTCCTCAGTCTCTCGAATCGCCACTCTGGTCAAAAACAAATCTTATGTCTGTAGTCTGCCTGGTTTTTTATATCTCTAGTGATTTGTGCACTTTGAGTGGTCATCAAGACTAAGGAAGCTCTATATAAATACAGACCATTTACCATGTGAAAATCTTTTAGTGTGCAGCCGACATAATAGACCAACATTTTTCACATAATTGCTCCACTTGGAGGTTCGGTCCGCTATTACACGGACTGATGTATGGACTAAAATATATAAACAATCATGGGATAGTTTCTTGTCCAAACTGCATAACATACGTTAAATACACTGTTGTCTGATCTGCATGTTCTGTGTGAAGTGGTACTTACTCAGTTTTGCACCTTTTAAGCAAATTGCCTAAAAAGCACTCGATTCTCTCTCGACCATGGTGGTCACCTAAGAGGTTCACTTGAGAGCCTTGATGTTGTTACATGATTAAATCAACTGTGCATCACAGATCTCAGTTTGCAGCAGACCTTTGTATTTAAGCTTCGTGAATATAACGTCATTTTGTCTTTTTCTTTCACCTGTTCTCATCCCGTTTTCTGCATGTGTCACCTCTTCTGAGGTGAGTTTGACATCTGGTGACTGTGAGTTGGAAGTCCTCACCAGTCAGCAGACCTTGGGCTTCGTTGGCCTCAGGTAGCTGGGAAAACGACTTCTCATCTACAAAACTACAAAAACCAGTGGGGTTGACATCTGCATAATGGAGTGGTGATGCTTTTTGCTGAGGATCTAGCTAATCCTGCGCAAATTGCCAAAAGCCAATGCTTCACCTGAGGGTCTGCACTGTGTTTACCTGTGGGTTTTATGCATTAATCCATTCAGTTTTATACTCCCCTCAAATAAGGTTTCAAGTTTATCATCTTACTTCATCTATCATCTTTTCATGTTGTATGTCACTTATTAGCAGTAATGTCATTAACACATACAGGTCCATATTGACCCAGTTTAACCATAGATGAAATGATCCGGGCCCTTAGTTGGAGAGCAGTGCATTGGCAGCATCATCTATTAAGAGCAGTGTTTTGTCGGAACTTCTGAGTGTCAGGTGCTGTGAAAATGTTCCGTTAATGCCAGAACCCCAAAGTACTTCAGCGCGGATGTGTCACTGTTGATTTGAGGATTTATTAGAATGTTTATCTGGCGAACAGATAAGCAGCTAACAAAGACAGGATTATTATAAAAGCAAATCATACCGTTCTTCACATTTCTTGTTGATGGAAAATACATAGTTGAATACAGCAGAAAGTGGGCCACTGTATTTACTAAAGCTGAATAAAGAATGGAAGAAACTGGATAATAAAGGTTGTTAAAGTTAGTTGGTATAAATTCAAATTCAAGTCAGTAAGAAAGAAGGAAATATATATACAATTTGATGGGAGAAGAACCAGCTGACAAAAAAAGTCACTGCACTTTTTGATAAATAATGAAAACAAGCGGTCTTTGGATGCAGTGTGTCAGACCCACACAAAGGTATAGTGACAGCACTGTGACACAACCTCACAGTTGTAAAGCATGATGTGTTTTCTTCAGCTGTCCACCAGGTTTCATGGGAGATTTCTGTGAAGTGGATGTTAACGAATGTTGCTCGGCTCCCTGCCACAACGGTGCCATTTGCCAAGATCTTATTAATAGCTACGTGTGCCACTGCAGGTCAGGTGAGTGACTCAGACATCCTGTGAGTTCCTTAATTCACTTTGAAATGAGGCAACCGTTCACAAGACCTATTACAGGAAGCCTTTGTTGCCCATGAATAAGATCACAAAAACATGGCCTAGATGGAAAGACATTATTTTTTGAAGTGCTTTAGTTTCTTACTGTGCCTCAGATGTGGTGCAGTACAGTTTACCATATTGTAATACTCACAGAACGCTCATATTGGATCGAAAGGGGCCAAATAAAATGTTAGATAAAGGTTAGCATAATGCCTACATAGCTGCTGTGCCTCAAAGCCATTCAAAAGTCATCTTCTTTTCTCTGGGGAGAAATTTGTGGTCATACAGTACTAAAAAAAGTGATAAAAAGACGATACTGCCCAGGCTCATTAAAATGTATGCGGCATCTTACTCTTTAGTGAAAGCCTTTTCTTGTCTGTGTATGTGTGTGAACCCAAAAAGAAGCAAATCAATGTAGGAGAATCTGATTGATATTCACTTCAGAGGGTGGAAGTGGGAGAGCCTGGGCTCACCACGGCGCTCTGTGGGCTTTTGTTCCTGGCAGGTTGGACAGGCCTTCACTGTGAGGATGACATTAATGAGTGCCTTCCACAGCCCTGCAACCAGGGGATATGCATTCAGAATGATCCAGGCTATGGCTACACCTGTTTCTGTCGTCCTGGATTTGTGGTGAGGCTTCCCACCTTATTCCCCTTCTCCCATCTTTTTTTCTCTCTCTCTCGAATTAACCTTTAGCCTTTTGAACTCTCAAGTCCGCTAATTGCAATAAATATTCTACTTTGTTAAAAATAACGGATTTCCTCTTACAAATGGACTAATCCTGACATCTTTTCTAGGTTATGTTTTGCTACTACTATTCCTTTTTTAATCATCCGGATTTAAATAACCAGTTTAAGAAGCGCATTTTCATCACATCACATGTATTTGTTAGATAATGTCACGCCCCCTACAAACTTAAATATTTAAGCTGCAGACGTTATATCGCACTTAGCATCTCATTGCTTGGTTACACGTCTGACGTCTGTTTATTTTACATACACAGGGGAAGAACTGTGAGCACAACTATGATGATTGCCTGTCGAATCCGTGTCCGGACGCATTTGCCTGTGTAGATGGCATCAACAAGGTCAGCTGCCTGCCTCCTGTTACTGATGCTGTTCCCGTGGTGACTGTAGTCAAGAACATCACACGCAGCTCCACACCTAAAGTGCCAACGCCGACACTTGGCCCGGCACCAGCAGCTGAGCAAAGCACAGGTATGGACCAGTCTGTGCATGCATATATGTACTTGTAATGGTACGCAGTAACTAAGTACATTCACCCAATACCTTTTGAGGTACTTGAGTATATCAATTTTATGCTACTTCATTTTATAAGTTGTAATTACTGGTCATGTTTCAGGTTAATATTTCACGTAAAAAAAAAAACCAACAAGCATAAAATACAATAAACTACTATTAATCCTTTGGACCCTTTTTGGCTTGTGACACCTTATAAAGCAGAGGCCCCACGTTTCCAGTGTCTATGTTAGCAGTTCCACCAATGAGACTTTATATCCTCTCATAACTTTTAAAGAAATATTATTATGGTCGAATAAGTAAAATCCTCCATTATTTCACAGATATGATATTTAGAAAAATAAAATACATATTTATATAGGAGAGCTTCTTGGGATGGTCCTGATCCCAATGGTTGTGTACTACTGCACTAAACTAATGTATGTTATATAGATAAACTAGCTCCATCTCAACCAATGTCAACATAATGCTGTTTACACATTGTTAAAGCTGTATAAAAATATAATATAATATAGTAACTAACTAGGCTAACCCCATATCTCGCCATGTTAAAGAAAGGGAAAAGAGAATCCCTGATCACCTTCAAAATTCAATGAATTCTTATATATGTTATCAGCCTTCAGCAGAATTTCATAGAGATCGATTTTGTAGTTTAGTTCTGCACAACCTCCATGGCAAAGGTAATAATGACACAACACTGATATGAGTCATTTTCACCTTGGAGGGAGTTGTTATTTTTTAGGTCATTTGTAAGTATTTTTATTTTCTTTATAGTATTTCTTTAAGTATGATCGTCAGTGCAGAACTTTTACTTGTGATGAAGTATTTTTATTTTCTCCCCTGAAGCTTTACATATGTCCGTGAGGAAAAGAGAAAAGAGAAAAGTAATTATCAGATATAAAAGCAATTTAGCTTCTAATTGTTAAAGTTACATGTTACATGTAATTAAATGAAACCTAGTGACTCATGGTTTCTGGAGAAGGAATCATTTTAATTGACAATTAATTTGCTAAGAAGAATAACACACTTACTAACTTACTGATAAATCTGCTCAAGTACAGCAGAGGGTCATGCTGAATATATATTTCTCAATCGAGTCTCAGCTCCCGTTAGTGTGCTATTACTTCCATTAACTACACGTGTGCAAGACAATGACATTAAATGATTAAAACGTATGACTAGTTAAACCAATCCATATTTTTATTCTTTTGACAAATTACAAACCCACCCTTCCCTTCTTCCCACCAAACAGTTTTGATTGCCAGTGTCGATTGAGACAAGCCTCCCACTGAGCTAAATCTCCAAATGTGATTTTTAGACCCTTTGGAACGGAGCAGGTGATGATATATTAGGTTTGATTGAGAGTTTGTCATAGTTTGTGCAGCTGCAGCGGCAAAAAAAACCCCAACTAGATTCTTATTGCACACTAGACTGCAACAGTGATTTCAAGGAGTAATAGGTCCAATCATTATTTGGGGCTGTATCCATTAACACTCAAACAGCAGACATGGGATAGAATATGTTACACGTCGCTGGTATTGGATTCAGTCGTCTTATGTGAGAGGAGGAATTCAGAGCGCTGGGCACATTGTTACTCCTCGACAGATGAGGTCTACCTTTGAAACTGTTCACGGAGCTGTAAAACAGACCTATTGAACACAGACAAGCTTGAACCAATTCAGTGCGACACTCTGAAAATCACTGTGGGCCAAACATAATGGAGTCCTCCCCGTCTGCCACCTGATCCAGCCCCTCGTCCGGCGAGTGTTGCATTGCCGTGGTGAAGGTTAAATGTACACACACACACACAAGGCCCCGGCGATAAGAAAACAAACAATTTACAAAGCGATGTACGAGCCGAAGCGTCTCTTTACTCTTCCACACACAAGTGCATAATCAAAATAAATAAGTTTTTAAAGGAAGAGGACCCAGAAACTGGTGGGTTTATCTAACTAGGTCACCATCTAAACACATGCAGTGCCCTTGGTGCTGCTTGAAATAGACTCAGACAGTGCTCCTTTAAACCCAAGACTGCTCCGCAAAACATTTGAAATACAGCAAGTCAATGGGAATTTAAACATAGGGGAGGTAGTTAATACGCTGCGCTGACAGTAGAGGATAACATTTCTGAATAGAATGTGTGAATATGGTCAGAAACTTGACTTCCTATCTTAATTTTGACGTTGAAAAAAGCCATTTCAGCTCTGTTCGCTTACACTCCACAGACGGAGGCGATAGTCTTCTGGGTTTCTTTTTTTTTTTTTTTTCAGACACAGCTGCAGATTTCTCAACTCATACGATAAAGTTATTTTTCATCACTGTACATGCAATGCTGAGCTCCACAGTATTTTAGCTCGACAATGTGAGAGCTGATGGGAATCTAGAGAGCACAGGGCTGGTGGAGGGAGGCTTACCGCAGCTAAGCCACGATTAGGTTGACTCTCCTTGGAGTGATCACTGCGGCGCAGGTGAGGCTGTTATCTTTCGCCGCCATGTGCAGCGGAAATGAAATTACTTAAGCGCCTCAAAAAATCTGCTTGATGAGGGGGAAGTTAGCCCGGGGGGTCGCTCCAAACATGCAGTACCTGTTTTAGGATCAGTCACCTTGTGAACCTCCACGTGCGTGACATGCATTTGCTCTGTTTAGCACTAGTTTATGTTAGCATGCTTCTTTTTTTTTTTTTTTTTTTTTTTTACACATATACAGTGTGTTTATAATTGAGATGGCAGTGCCTCATTAGTGCGCCTGTAACAATTTTGATATATTCCGTGACACAACTTTGCCAGTGACTCATAATGGAATTTGCATGATGTGCACGGTCATGCATATTCATGAGACGGAGGCTGTGTAAGATGAAAAACGTCGAGTCTAAATTTGTCATTTGCTGCTGCTGGTTTATGCGGCCTGTATGATTCAGTGAGGTGGCTGTCAGTGTGTTTGGAGTAAATTCATCAGTTATTTTTAAAACCAGACAACAAAGATATAATTAGAAGAAAGTCATATTTAGGATTTGATTCCTCTGTGTGTCTCAGCAGCTTAATAATATCTCACCAAATCTTACTACGCTACACAACTTCAAGTATGAGACATTTTTCAGTCAGTTTGGAAACACTGAAGGACCTTTTGCCTTCCCCCCCGGGGGCTCTGACATCGTAAGGGTCCAAGAATGATCCTCGGTAGTATTTTATCTCTGTCCTGTGACAAGTTCAATCAGTCAGTCTATTACCGTACCCGATAAATCAGGCACCAAACAGGACGTACACCCTGGCTTCTTTTTAATAAATGGGACAGTAAGTCTATATCAATTAAATCCCACCTTCCCAAAGACTATCCTGATATTAATTGATTGCAAGTTCAAGTTTCTCGAAATGTATTTTTTCCAGCGGAATACCCCGCGCTCTAACCTGCCTGACACCTCCACGCAGTCTGTGCAGCAACATTGCGTCCACCTCACGACATTACATTAAATATGACTCACATCAATTTTCTCAGCTCTTTTATGGACATGTATTAAAAGTAATTATATCTGATCTGAAAGATTTATATCAGGAAATATTCCCACTGAGACGACGTTTTCTTTCTAATTGAACCCAGAACAGCTTTTTAACAGAGAGCGGTCGTGACAAACTCCTGGGTCAGCGTTTTGTTAAAAGTGAAAACTAGAGTGGCGTATCCCCCCCAAGGCAAAACATTAAAAATTCACTAGATTTGGATTTTTGTTTGGATCTGCACCAGATTGCAAACACTAATAAACATGACTGATTTTCTGAATTTCTGGATCAGTACCTAAATGTAACTGGTTCTTCCCTGACACATGCTGCATCCTTCCACCAAGTTTCATTGTTATCTGTCCTGTTGTTCTGGCGTGATCCCGTTAACCAATGAACGCAGACGAAAGCATAACCTCCGTGGTGTGGGTATTAATATGATTGATGATTGATAATGATTCTGTGCATAACAACAGATACTGAAAATCTAAAAAAATTTAATCAAGATACTGTTTATATTTGATGCATATACAATTTAGATTCAGTCTGACTAGTTACCAGGGAGGTGTGGGTGAAAAATGTGGTGCGAGAATATAAGTTAGTGGTAAAAACAGGAGACCTTTGAAGGAGAGACTGAAGCTAACTGCTAATGAGGCATGATACTGCCTCCTGGCAGCAGCCTCAGACTGCATCAAAGTCTACATCAGACTAAACAAGGCTTTAAAATTAATGAATAGCTTTGTCTCTGAGGGGTAATTTTCCATCATCAGCATTGGCAAACCCCATTGTCAGGAGTGAAGCACAAGACAGCGCAGCATTGTTGCAGTGTGCATTTATCCTCATTAATTCACAGATCACAGTGGGTCTGCACCTGATAATTCTTCGGTGTATTTTTTCCTTGGGATTTTCCTCAGGGTATTGGTCGTATTGCTCCCTGGAGAATGGGGGGGGGGGGTATTTAGGTTAGCTTGTTTGCCAAATGCGCTGAGGGTCCCTCTGTCAGATCAGAAGGGGGTCTGGCCTATTAGGACTTGACGTGTAACAACTATTGATAAAGGTCTCACTCCCAGCTTCCCGATTAATCACGGCAGCAACTTTAAAGGAGCTTCGCTGATTTCTCTAGTGCAATAATGTTTTTTTTCTTCTTCTTCTTTTCCGGCTAAGAACAAAGACAGGTGCATCAAGGAATGCTTTTCATTTTAACAAGCAATCCAGTTTGACTTCCATGCAACAAATTACACTACTTCCCTCAAATGAGAAATATATTGAGCATGAGCACCCCTAATGCTTGCCTTCAATTGCAGCCTGAGTCAGTCTTTTAAGTTCGTCTGCGTCACCACCCCCAATAAGCTGGCGGGCGGTGGAACTTTTTACTGAAATACCACATAATTGCCCATTCTCATGGTTGATCTGAGCCAAGTTATTCCACTATAAAATGAGGCATGTAATAAACTTGTACGAATAGTTTCATTTCAACCAAGACGCCTAATGTAGTGTCATTTGCATGCCTCGAAGCTTTCTGGCAAATAAGACTATTTACAGTATGACTGTACAGTGAGCAACAGAGAAAACTATGATGCACTTAAAGCCCTCTCTCTCGCTCCACTTTTTTTGCACACAATAAATCTCTCTCCTCTTTGCTCTAGTCGATTTAAGCTGCATTCCATCTATGTTGCCATGGTTATTTGATGGATGCAAGGTCACATTTACGTTTTATACAGCAACAAACATGAGTGTGTGCAACTGCGAGAGTTACAAAATCGGAAAGTCCGAGCATCTGCCCTGCTGAGGTGTCCTTAGCCCAACTCTGAATCTTTAACAATTCTGAGGGTGCTGCCCTGTATCTGGCTCTCTGCACCGACTTCCCTGTGGAGGAAGTGAGTGAAAGGTTGAATTCTTTCTTTCAGGGATCAATAAAGAATCTCAGCAGAATTTATAGTTAAGATACATAAACTGCAGACACACTTTTTGTTTACCCAGCCCCTTTATTTCTGCTGTCTCTATATTTTTTCTTATTTCCCAGATTCGAGCTACGTTCAGTACTTTGGGAATTCGTATCTTGAGTTCGAGAGTGTCGACCTCAGCGCCCTCAACAACATTATTGTGAGATTCCACACCCAGGCGGCCCAGGGAACTGTGTTCTATGTGGACCAAGGACCTGCTAATGGTGACTTCTTCTTCATGAAACTCTTCATCTCGGATGGTGTCCTACAGGTAAAGCTCCGGTGGTGTAGTTATTATGCACGATAGTTTGTGAGGTTTTTAGTGTCTACATTGATCAAATAATGTGTTTGCCTGTGACGTTCAGCTGCTGCGTGAGTTGTGAACGTGGTCTGAAATGTTTCAGTACGCCTTCTGCTGTCATGAAGAGGAGGCGGTCACAAAGATCAGCACACTGGAACGTGTTGATGACGGCCTGGTTCACATTGTTAACATCAGGTTAGTTCTTTTTTACTTATTCATGTTCAGATTTGTTAAGTAGTAAAGAAAAAAAAATTCTAAATGTAATTTAATTTTTCAGCTTTTAATCTACAAGTGTATTAACAGAGACATCGATTCAGATGCAGTGTTAAATATCTGCTTCTGGCAATAATACATTTTCTATTAAGAAGAAAGAGAAATGTTCACAGTGATAAATGTCTTACAGTAGTTCTTAATAATATACACATTGTGTTCAAATACTGTTCTCACCTCAGGTAATACTCATTCGATCTTCTTCTTAGCCGCTCATTTCTGTGGAAGAATTTTCTGCGACAGATAGTTGTCAGGAATGAGCAGAGTGAGATTTTTTAGATTTTATAACAAATGGGCTTACATTCTAAAGAACTAAAACAAATGGCAGAATGTGCCTGTTAAAATGCATTAGTGATCACCGACCATGTTTTATTGGCTGTTCCAAAGTCTTCATTTGCAGTTTTTCATTACAAAAAGATTAACAAGCAAGAGCCTGAGCACAAAATCAATGTTTAAATGATTTAAAGTGAGGCTGTGGCCCCCTTTAGTTATATTGTTCCTCGGGCCCGTGTGCAATCTCGCTGCCAGCCCTTCCCATTATATTCTGACATGAGAGGGATTGTGGTTTAGTTTTGAGACACAAAGTGTATTATGTATGAGCTGGAAGCTGGAACAAAGCGACTAATGTTCTGCTCATATCAAATCAGTTTACTTTGCATTTAGGGAAAGAGTGCAGAGACTTTTTAGCAGTGCGTCCCTTTAGCCAGATGTTCTGTGGGGGGCAAAGATAATACATTTAGTTTGTTGTTTTAAACTAGTTGTAAAGGCAGAGATAGAATTAAGAGACAGATATGAGGTTTCTGAGGATGAAATTTTAACAGACAAAAGTAGATACATGATAAGAACGTGCCAAAGCTTACTGGGAAGGTTGCATGCTCCTTGGCAGAAAGCTACGCTGCCCTAAATATGCAAGTTCATCCAGAACATCCAATCGCGCTTCAGGGGCTACAAGGCTCCACCCCTGTTTTTTTTTTTTCATTATTATTATTTCCTACAAGAAAAATACTGCAGCAGTATAAATCAATCATAATGTTCTGTACCAACCCCTTGGAGACATTGCAAGAAAAAGAGCTGTCATAACTAGAGGGTTGGGAGTGTGGAAAAATGGTTTCTAGTGTCACAAAGCAAATTCTTCGTAATTGTCTGATGGCCGAGTCCGTCCATCTTTGTCTGATTTGACCCAGAGCTACAACACCATGGCCATCCTCAACGTCACCGCCTAACTCATTATAGACTTTTAATATATCTTCCCGTCAAAGACGCTTTTCAATATGTTAAATAGAAACCCAGTGGGGCTGACTTCTCAAGGACAGTGAGCACAGTGCCCTCTGGCTGCCGGCCAGGCCGCTCTGGCAGGCTGCTTCTAAATTAACCGCTTCTCCACGGCCGGCTCTAGAGGAAGGACTTATGCAGCTAGGAGTTAGTGCCCCGAGTATTTAGCCGGCATATGCAACAGCCTGCAAAGTACAGGCTTAACAAATCAGACTTGATTGCTTCACGGACCTTCTAACTTCCACTCTGGGAACAAGGGGTATCAGGAGACACTGGAGAAGGAGACTGTGCATCTGTGGCCCAAGTGCCCTCCAGCTGCACATGGTTAGTCCAAAATCTGCACTTAGGTAATTATCTGCTCCCCTGTTGTTTCAAAACGGACAATTGGTTTTTTGAAATCCATGAATGGCTGTGGGGTGGGTCCAAAATAGTTGTGACAAGGCTCATAAGATACGGAAGAAAATGGAGCATTTGCGCAACTGCTTAATGGATGTATCAGCAGAGTAAACAAAACCATTATACTCACTTACCACTGTTTTTAAATCTCAACGTCCGACAATTCCCCCTGCTTCTCTGGCAGCTACGGCCAAATGATTATTTATAATTACAGGTGTCCCTTTTTCAAAATCAATGCAGATACAATAATAAGCTGTTTTAGAGATTTTTCAGACATATGAAATTTATTTTGTTTGTTCGAGACAAATTTCAGGAAAAACCTGATCTCATGAAAGTGTAAAAATTCAATTTAGCATCAAAACCAAAAAGGTTCCAGTTAACTCAATAGAATATATGGATACTTTGCTGTTATTTTTATATCTTGTGAATGCTTATGTAAAAAAGGATAACTCCTCTTATAAAGCTTAATGACCTATTGAAAACATTTAATTTAAAGGAGTGTATATACTTTTTCACAGACAACACCTGACCCCATGTGAAGCAGAGCTGACTCTTTGGGGCCACGAGAAAATCAAAAGTTCTGCAAGTAACTTCTGGTTGGGACACACGATCCAAAACACTACCCACGTCTTTACAGGTGGTCTGCCACAACACTACCCACCCAATCAGGTGAGACGTGCAGCTACTGCTCAGTTTCTCTACTGCCCATTGAAATGATAATGATCTAAAGATATACCTAAAACTTACCTGCTGTTACATAATATATTATGGAAATTACGTTATAATACAAAAAAATCTATCAGGGACAGATCAAGGGAAGGACCCAGGGGGAACTTGCCCCAGCTCAAATTTGATTGGTCCCCTGAAGTGTCCTGATATATATATATATATATTATTTGTTCTCAGTTGCTAACAACACTAGCAAATAAATATGAGAACTTGTTGCATTTTTATTTTCTAAACCTTTTTGAAGTTCACAATCAACAATATGCAATGGTGTGTGGGTGTATGGGTCAGGATTTGTTCATGGACTATAATTGGCCTCTGTGTTAGTTATGGCTCCTCGAAAAAAATACCCTAGATCCACCATTGAAATCAATTGTCTTTTTTTTTTTTTCCCTCTTAGAAAGCAAAACCTTTTCATAACTTCACTGGCTGCATCGAAATCATTGAAATGAATAACCTGAAGAGCTTTCACACATCTGATGCCCTCGCCAGCAGCAATGTGGACCAATGCAGGTAAAGGCTCTAGATGCTAAACAAAATTGATTATTGATTATATTTTCACATTTGATCTTTTGTTTTTTATCAGTTAAACACATAGAGTAAACAGTGTGTGTGTGTGTGTGTGTGTGTGTGTGTGTGTGTGTGAGTGAGTGAGTAAATATTTTGATTGATCATTTAGTATAACCCTGTAGCTCCAGTATTCACAGTTTGCTTTGTGTGATGCATTGGGGAATACCTGACCACTTATTGTGACAAATAACACTTGAGTTTTCCTCTTTTCTTTGAGAAAAATCTGTCTCTCCGCTAAATTACTGCACTTATTTTTACCTTAATGGCTGAGGCTGTCTGCGCAGGAGTCTAGATCCCATTTTTAAACTTAAAAGCAACGTTAAATTGGATTTAAATTGGATTTTTGACCAATAAACAACTCAAACGTGTGTAATTTTGCAGATATACATTATTTGCCACCGAAGCCCCTGCAACAACTTCCTCAATTTTGACAACTCGATCAACCATCACTGACACAGTGAACACAACAGCACCAGCAGCTCCCACACAAACAACAACACCTCCCCTGCACCAAACTCAAGTTTGCCTTGAAGGTTTCTGCCGCAACGGAGGAACGTGTCACCAGCTGCAGCTTCCTGGTGGAGCTGTTCCTTCCTGTCACTGCCCGCTTCACTTTACTGGAACTTTTTGCGAAAAAGGTAGGCTTGTGAAAAAGATTCTTTATATTTAAGCTGACTGTGCTTCCCTGTTTTTATACATAATATATAAAACACATGCGCATGCAGACACACAAGCATTAAAAAAGCTTAAAAACCTACTGTACTGTGACCTCCACAATGGTATCTTCAAGAGCCAGCCAACAAATTATGTTGGTTAATATATGCTGAGCCTCTTTGGCTAATAGGTTTCACTTTGCGGGAGAATAGAGTCAACTGCATTAGGAATTTTGAGTGATGTGAATTATTCAGGATATGATTAATGAAATGAAAGATCCATATAAGCAGCTTGAACTGCCGCTGTGTGTCCCATGTTCACCTCCAGCGCTCCCGAGAATGAGAATATGACCTTGCAGCACTCGCTCAACATTCAGCTGCAGACCTCATCCCTGTCCCCCACCAAAAATATTTATTGTGTACCAACCACTCCCAACACTCGACAGCGGCACCAGACACACATACTAAGGAGTTCTTCCTTTTCAGACTTCTGCTCAGCACACATGCGATGTAGCTGCTGAAGTTTCTTTATACCTCTCTCTAGAGGCGTGGTGTGCTCTGACAGTGAAGGAAACAGCGTCCCGAGTTAAGCGATCTCACACGGCTGCATTATAGCTACAGTATATAGTTAATCCTCCATTACAGATTAAAAAGGCACTGACATAAATTAAATATGTCGTGAGTGAATTACATATGTTAAATCTATGTATGTCTTTTCTATGTGGGAGGATTTCAGCGCATTACAATTGGTGAGCACATTACTTCAAACAAGCTGTTTGCTTAACCGCTCCTCCAAGCACTGAATATCCAAACATAGCTTCACTTCATGTTTAGTGTGTCAAACGTTGTCTTTGTGGGTGGTTATCGTTGTGAAACTGAAACTGTTGCTGGTGACAACCGCACAGATGTTTTCAGGTTGTTTGTTCAGGATTGTCCTCAAATTCAATGCAAATCTTAAGTTGGACTCGAGGATTCACAGATGTTGGTGGTCAAAGGTCGAGGTCACTGAGACAGTGAATGCCATAGGATAAAGTTTTCAAATTTGGCACAAGTGTTCACTCACTGATTTGAATGGTCAAAGGTCACAGGTCCCATTGACCTCTCAAAACATGTTTTTGGACATTTCAGCATATCTCAAATAAAACCACAGGGCATTACCTCTATTTTAAACCCATTGTCTTTTCCTAAACTGAAGTTGTGTTGCCTGAACCAAACTGCAACTGAAAGCTAAAACCAGCAACCCTTTCAGTGAGGCAGCAGTTTCAAATCGCAGACTGTAAATAATATGGAGGACATGACAGCTCACCAAGAGTAAAGCCAAAGCTTCTTAATCACCACCTGGTGGCTGGCTGCAGTAGCCTATATGTCATGAGCGCCGCCTCGTCTATGTTAGTTGTTGGATCATGGCCAAAGTGCACATCACAAAAATATTTATCTCAAAAATAGTTTCTATCATTTTAGGTCCTTATCAAGTGTAAATTCTGTTTTAATTCCAAACAATGCAATTATTTCATTAAGTTGATTATGCTGCTTTGAATTTACTTTTAAGTAAATTGTATTAACTTACTTTAAAGTTAATTTAACAGAATTCAATGTAATTAATCAATGTAATTAGTGGCATGACACTGTGGCAATTCTTTGAATTTCATTTTGTTAATTTTGTTGAATTTACTCTACTCAATTGAACGTCATAATTGACATGTGACACTGACTTACAGCCTCTGGCTCTAAATGCGGCAAAATGTCATGGTTTGTATCCGGGATATTTTGGCTTCATTTCTGGATCACGGCAGGAAGAGGAGACTCATCGTCCATCTATATATAGAGTCTGTGTTTCAAACACAGCAGGTATAGGTACCATCGCTGTCACTGTAAACTACACACAGTGTGAGTCACATGCAACTATATAAAGCTTGATTTAAGAACACTGACTAAGGGGGGTAATTTTCCTGTAATATTAAAAAATGTTTTTGGAGAAAACAAATTAGAGTAACATCATTACTTATTAGAAGAAGCTCCCCCAGGTATTTCCGTTGTGAAGGAGTCCTGTAGGTATCGTTCAGGACAATGGATTATGTAGGACTTTTCTTTCCAGCTCATCAACAGTGGTGAGGCTTTCTCCCTTTTCTTCCTCACTTTCTCTCTCGTGTAAAACACTCGTCTCTTCCTCTGCTACTCATATAGCACTAACAATTATTTCACTCACGGGTATTAGATAACAAGCTTTGAATAACAGTGACCACCAAATGCCATATGTGCTGTGCATTTCAGGCCTGGGGAATATTTCAAGCGATGGAAATTCTTATTAGCATCACAAAAGGTTCCAATAATGGAAGCTGGATTGATTTCCCCCATTCACAGCCCTCGTACATGATTTAGCCTGATTGCATAATCCTGCAGCCTGTTTACAGAATACATGGAAATCTGACAGAAGGCCGCTCAAAGCTAATGTTAACAATCATTAACATGGCTTGAGCAGCCGTATGCACCTGACACCTCGTATTTGACACCTCCGCCGCTTGCTCCAAAAATGCTAATTTACAGGTGTTTAAGTAATCTACCGAAATGTTATTTGTCTCTCCGGGCACTGTAACAAAAATGGTGCTATTTTTAAGAACTCTCATTTGTTTTTCCCGTGGGAGACAAGCTACGTCGAGGAAAGTGATGCGACCGCCCCCTCTCTTACATGACAGAGACGCTGCTTGGCTGAACCAATAAATAAAGATGATTTGGCCAACTGCTAAAGAGCCGGTAGAGAACAGAGCATGATTCATGTATTGATCCGTTCACTTCTTTATTGATTTAATGATTTCTTAGCATCAGAGCGCTAAGGTTCAGAGTTACTAGTGTGCCACAAAATATCATCACGTGTGACTGAGGCCCATTAGTCAGTCGCATGAGCATTACGTCTGTGTGACAATGTGCTACCTTTACTAACAGAACCCTGATAACCCAATGATGCCTTACAAACCTGTATGATGTGATTTTACATGCATATATTCAATTCCATGTTTGATTTCATAACATTCTCACAAATATATAATTTTATTTTTACATTTTGTTCCAAATCAATCAACAAAACCGTTTTTCAGGAGTTTTGCCCTCAGCTGTTTCCTTCCCTGACCATAAAGTTAGTTCCTGCTTATCCCTCAACTTTGCTCTCTCATAAATTTCCCCTTAAATACAGGCAGTGGCCTTTTAGACGGGTTTCTGCTGAGTTTGAGGAATTCGCTCCACCTCAAAAGCGGTTCAGTCTCTCAGGTTTAACGGAGTGTAATCTCGCACCAGCACTCGTCCAGTCATGTGCTTTCCGACCCCGGTGTAACCCGCGGTCAGATGAGTCCAGAGGCTGTTTACATACTAAGGAAAGTCTGTGCTTTGCTGTATGGCAACTCCTCTGGGTAACAATCCTGTCCTCACATCTTGTTGAGTCTAGTAAAAATTAAGTAAGTCACCCCTGCTCTTAGGTAATTAAAGACACATCACCCTATCAAGTGACTAATGATGTGGACTTGTTTGTGTCCTAGATGAAATGCTGACATGACATAACAGCATCTGAGACTCAACTAGACGTGCTTTTGTCTCTGCAGCCTCTTTATTATAGTTGAAGAAGTTAATATGATACTGACATAATTAGCATTAGTTAATACATGTTCCAATGTGATCTATTGTAATCTATTATTTGTCAGTTTGACTCGATATAAAATGAAAAACATGCAAAGAAACAAACTCTTCACGATCTTTACAATGATAATGTCCATCCACAAATTATTGAATTGGATTTAAAGTCCTTTCACCACTGACTTTAATAAATGTTTCTGTGTTAGAGTACTTTGAAATCCAAGATTAGCATATTATATTTATTTATTTGTTTACACAGTCAACACAAGAGAAGTAATATATATATTGGGTGTATAGCTGAAGCTAATATTTAGTCAGAAATTCAGGGAACGCTGAGGCCAATTAGTCTTGGAGGTATGCCCTCTCCGAGTGTCCTTGTAGTAGACGTATTATATTAAGATACAAAAGTTGAATGTACTTATGCTTCAGTATTTCTATTTTATGCTTCAACTCAGTCACTTACCGAAGGCAAATATTGTTTTGCATGCAAATCATCCAAGGATTAATATAAATCATAATGAATTACCATAGATAAATCTACTTCTTTCTACAGTACATAAAGATGTGAGTACTCGCTTCACACTCCTCACAACATGCAGATGAGCGGACTTTATTCCCAGTAAAGCTTTAAACTGCCCTAAAGAGCTAACAGGTCAGGAATCATACTGTCAAATGTAATACTAGGGAAGACTTTCACACCTCTCTCAGGGACTATTACCCTCAGAACATCTGGATACCTCTCAAACCTCACAGTATCAACTGTCTTTTTGTTTTAGCTCATCAAAGCTGTCACTCCAAAACTTTCAGCAGGTATCTCTTAGGTGCAGAAGTTGTTTAATATGTGTGAGCTGGGAGTTGTGCCCTTTTTCTTTGGTTCTTGGGGACGCACCAAGGTGTACTGTAATCCAGCTCAGTACCTGGTGAAATCTGTGTGTGTGCGCACAGTGTTTGATACCAAGAAGCCAACCATAAGATGGGTTATGTCAAGATAAAGCCAGTTCATCTGAGCATGTCAGAGTTTTAAGCTATGATAAATTGTCTCTTCAAAGACAGCGGGGTAGGTCGCAGACCTTGCCAAATACATTCTGTCAAGTATGTAAGCATTCAATTGAAAGCTAAGTGATCACACAAAAAATTAGTTATGGAGTAAATGGCTGCATGGTGACGAAGAAGGCATAAAAGAGGAAAAGCGGCGAGGCAGGAAATTATTCAGACTTGGTCTGTATTGATCATGACCTCCGTCTACGGCTCATTACCTCATGTCCTTACTTCTCGTTTGTATCGGAAGCTGTGATGTAGGATGTTGGCCAGAAGGAATGAAAGATGAGAGCACAGTTTTGACTCCTTTATGTCTTTTCTACATTGTTTACCAAACCATAATATTTAATGCAAATAAAATAATATCTTCTTTATTTTCTCATCGACCAAATTAGTTCCTGCCTAATTTTCATCCAATCTAATCTAGGCCCAATAGCTCATATCCCTCTTAATCAATACAAGTACATTTTATTTATCTATAATATTCAACATCAGATGGTAACAGGGGGAACTTGAATGACTGGGACAAAATGTATAATGTTTACAAAAATCATAATGTGAAATATAAACTGCAGGTGATATTTTCATAGATGAGGACCATCTTCTGTTGTGAGGAGAAATAAATAATTATTCTTTAAAGAGCAAACAAAGAAAGATGTCCCAGGGTTGTGAGCCTCTCTGCTTTTGTTTGACATTAATGGGACCTGATGAGAGCTTGTCAGCTTCTTGCTTTGCCAGCACACTGGCTAGATGCTGCCAGCTCTCTTTGTGGGCATCCAGTGTGTGTGTTTGCTGTAATTAATCTGCCCCACTCACAAATTGCCAGCCAACATTACAGGATTGATTCATCATTCTCATTCCATAGAAACCTCTTTTTCCACAAGACAAGAAAACACAGTTCGTATTTTCTCTTTGTAATTTGAATTATTGGCTGTCATGTCTGATTCATATAATTCTCTGCGCAAGGAGTCGGCAGCCTCTGATTGGTTGGGGAAAGGTAACGGGGATACTGCAGGTCCTACAGGCGAAGAAAACAAGATTGTGACTATTTGAGAAATGGTTTGAAGACTTGTTCTCATTTGTTGGTCTGGTGACTGATCGTGAAACCCAACAATGTCAGAATCCTACAAGCATCCAGGCCATGAGGAGTCTTTACTGTCAAATGTACTGATTCACCTTGCTGATATTTCCACTGAGTATCAGACTCTGCTTCTCTTCATACTCTTGTTAAGATCATTGTTTCCTGATAACCGAGACCCATCATTTTGTGTTGCCGCAAATAAACCCACCATGTCAGATTCACACATCATTCCAGTCAGCAGAAAAATTCCAATGTCAAACCACAATACGTGGGATATAAGAGTAATCAATAAATGTGTGCATCGTTGTATAATAGTGTGGTCATTTGGGTTTGTACAAATGTCACAAGGCAGTGAAAGGTAGATCCAGATTTTTATTTGGATCAGCACCAAATTGCCCACACTCATAAATGTCAGTCCCCCTCATGTGCTGGATTTTTTATTCTCTGAGAGCTCAATAAAAATGTTGAAAAACTTATTACCTCCTTAGTGGTATTTAATCAGATCCATGATATCTGTTTTAGCATCAAAAACATCCAAAACCAGTTCAGAAATTCTTCTAAATGTTGCCAATGATTGACTGACAATAGTTTGTCCATTGCCATTGTTACGCCAATCACGAAAACTTAGACTGCTTCTTGTTATGTGTTTATTTAAACAAATTTTGCAGCGTTCTTTTATTACTCTTCTTTTACTTTCCAGTCTCTTGTAAATGTTGTCAATCATCCAGTTCTGCTTTCCATTTGATCCAAAATCAAAGCATCAAAACCAATGAGCAGAGTTAGAAGAAAATATTCATATTTCTCTTCCAGTAAAAAAAAACAAACTATACACTCGATGAATTTTTCCGCTGAGAACAAACTGCATTTTTTCCATTGAGATGGATTCAAAGTATAGAATCCTTTGAGCTGAGGCTGCCGTGGCCCATTTTGAATCGACTTTCATGTACCGGAACAGCACACTGTCCGCCAGGTGTACGGTGTCCTTTGTGTAAAAGCCAACAGATCATCGCTGGCTTGTGCAGTTGATGACCTGAGTGGGTACCTCCCCCACCTCTGCGTACAGTCATACACCCCTCTGTCATCCAGTGGGAAATAACACACCAGCACATAGTCCCTGACAGTGGCTCTGCTGACTCTGCTCACATGCCTGTTATCAGTGCTGCGGAGGCACACACACCAGGCAAATCTTACTGTTGTGTTTACTAACAAAAGAACTGTGTAGGATTAATTTAGATATAAGTCTGAGTGGATTCTATTCACAAATACAAACGTGCATGTTTTCTTTTCTACGGCATATCATATTCACGTTTTCACCCTCCCTTTAAATGCATTTCATCACTTTCTACTTCTCTTTTGTTTCCAGATGCCAAAGTATATATCCCCTCATTCGATGGCACATCTTATTTGGAGCTGCAGCCTCTTGCGTCCCTTCTCCAGCCTTATTCTGTGCCTGCTACTGTCAAGGACACCGCTGTTATTCTCTATCTGACAGTGAAAGCAAGATCTGCACAGGGCACCATCCTCTACTGTGAGTGCAATCGGTTTTTATTGCAAATGTGTGAAAGCACTGCAACACTGTGAAAGCAAGCAGAGATAAAAGCTGGAAATATAGCCTGTGCATATCTACGCTTATATGACCATTATGTTTTCAAATGGCTCTCTTCCTGTGTATGTCCTTGTGCTTGCACTCAGGTTTTTATGGTTTTTATGCCACAGAGTGCAAGCTATCATGTTCTTCTGCCTTGAATAATGATGTTTTAAGTGGCTGATATGTTGCAGCTCCAGTGTCATGATGCATCACATTGTCTTTTATTAGATCTTAGAAGAAGAATAGTTCATCATTTGGAGAAATGTTAATTTTCACTTTCTTGTGCTGGACAGTTTTTTGGCTTTGGCTCAGTTCAGAGGCGAGGAAGCAGTTTCCAGCCTTTGTGCTGAGCTAAGCTAACCCACTGCCAGCTGTAGCTTCACACTCACATGCACAGACATGAAAATGTTGAAGAAGCACACATCCCCAAAAGTTCAACTTTTGTTTATGATATTGATAGTGAATGTTTGTTCATATATGTTTTCAAACTGACCATTCAACAAATTGATTTTAATGTGATTTGTAAATCAGATTCATATGATCAAGATATTTACTTGAAGAAAATAAAGTGTGCTCTCAAGCAATGTGATGTAAGCCCCTCACAAGAGAGGGGGCCAATCTGTACTCTATAATGATGTCTAGACATGTTATGACTAAGGAACAGTTTTCCCTTACTTCAAAAATTGCCCTCTTGTTACTGATCTGCTTGTTGCTCTCAGCCTCGTTTATCTTTGGCTCACTAATCATGCAGACATTATACTTCAGCCTTGGCTTATGTTTCAGCAGCTGAACATTTCATACTGTTTGTAAAATTACTTTTTCATTCCCTTTTCACAAGGCCAGTTTTTCCAATATTATCACTGTTTTGTGTGTAATTTTGTCAGTATTTCACGAAATATATCAAATACAGGGATACACAGTCAAAAAAAAAAGTAGTTGTCCTGCTGATTTTCATAAAATCATAAAAGTCATGGACTGTATATAAACCAGGACAACATGTCTCCGAAATCAATATGATATATCCCAGATACGAGTGCTGCCATCTTATGCATTTAGAAACGGCAATATAAACTTGATCAAACATCAGTGTAATAAGAATGACTTTACTTTATTTTTAAAGGTTTATGACCTTTACTGCAGCCAGCCACCAGGGGGCAAATAACACACTTTGGCTTCACTTTTTGGGAGCTGTAATGTCATCCATCTTTGTTTCCGTTCTATGATCTGGGTTGTTGTGGGTAAATCCGCTGCTCAGTCATGAAGAGTTGAAATGGGTTTGCATCATTTGGATTGACATGTTAGGTTGTGGGATAAACGGTAAAACTGATTGTGACTAGTTGGTTGTTGTGCTTATAGTCGTTTGTGATTGTCAGCGGGAGCAGAAAAGTCCAGTGTTTACAACTGTGTGGTGGTTTGTTTGCTCAGAAAAGGGGGTGATGACACCTCTGTGTTTCTGAGTGCTAGCAAACAAGGATGTTTGGCCACAGTAATGGTGCCGTAGCCTTGAATCAGACCAATCTGCAAGATCATGTTCAGATAGAGAGAGGTTGGGCCAAAGCAAAACCATTTATCTAAAACGGGATGTGTTTGTTACAATGGCTGACAGGGGAGGGCCCAATGGGAGCGCAGCCAAGGGAGTTTCATTAAAAACTAACTTAGCTGCTGTTGATGTGGGAAGGTCAGTATTAAACAAATGAATGAATTATGTATTTGATCAACATCACAAGTTCTGCTGCTCAGATTGGTTGTGGGTCTATCCATTTGCATCCAGAGGCATTTTGGTCATCAGCGTGCCTTTGAAATTGAACATTTAATGAAATCTGAAGTGATTCGCATACAGTACAGATCAAATCAAACAAGATATGGATCAAATTAACTATCTGTACATTTTTCAATTTAATTTCAGTTAAAAAAGAAATGCATCCTTGGGGTGCCCACCAGCTCACCTGGTACCATGGGTGCCCTGCAGAAGGAGGCTGGGGTCCTCCTGCAGCTATTGAACGTTTAGGTCTGACTCCGCCCTTTGCTGAGTGCCGTACCCCATTATGTCCTATTTTTAGGCTTACTTTGCTGTCAATACAATAATCATAACCAATTTTAAGACAAAAAATCTCTATAAAGATGTTATTTAGAGAAAGCAACAGGAGCTGTAACCTAAAAGGAAACAAATGAAATTGTAAGAACTGGTCACTCGCACGTGGGGAGCGAGGGGGGCTGATCTTGACCTCTGCATTGTATGTCTGCTTCCTGTCAGCTCCTTTGTTTCCACACCTGCACACACACACACACACACACACACACACACAGTTGCACGCTCCCCTTTGTTGCAGAAGGTGATTTGGATAGGTAGGCCAGGCAGTCACTGAGTAGACCCTTATAACAATGGAGCATTGTGTTGTGAGGAAAAAGAGTCCGTAGATTTCTGGTATTTTTTCAGATCCTGAGAAATCCCAGCCATGAGAACGTTGTTCCATTTATCAAGCTTTTTGTGTATTATACATCTGTTCAAAGTATGTATGCAAGTAGTAGGAACCAGCCAACTCAGGGCTGAAGCTGCTGCATGAGTGCCTTGAGCTGTGAGGCCTCCACCGATTAAGAAAAACCGACTGTGTGCCTCTGTGGACAGCAATTGTAGCACCTCGCTCTAAAAGAAATAAAGGAGCCGCCATGATCTTGTAAAGCTGCCAGTGTCCCCATGTGACTCTGCAGCGAGTCAGGGGCAGGGACAACAGAACTGGCATCGTGTGGTGATCACAGGTGATTTCCTCTGCACCAATTGGACAGAAACATCACAACCATCATCTTTGTAGTGTAACCTAGACCAACCTTGTATTTCTGGTATTGTATACAGTAGGGCTGGACGATATGGAAAAAAATCTTATCATGATAATTTTTTTGTATCAGTCGGTATCAATATTGTAGAAGATAGTATCACCAGTCTTTGTGGGAACATGCTTTCGACACAATGTGCAGTGCACAGTACTCTGCTTCTTGACGGACTTTAAATATACAAAATATCTTCTCATTACCGAATTCCTCAGACCCTTCTTTCCAAAAACGTCCTCGTCTTTTGAACCTTGGGCTGTGTCTGTTGGGGTGTCATCTTCGGTAATGCTGTCGCTCGTGTTTTTGTTAAAATTTCCTGTCGGGGAGCTGTAACTCTATTCCAGCCACATGATTGGTGTGGCGCAGCGCTATTCTCATGTCTTATCATTATTTTGTCTTTCAAAACATGGATGGAATGACTTCTATCAACATTGTATCGACCATGTCTTAAGTTTCTATGGAGGAAAAGTTATTTTGCAATAATTATTGCAATATTCTATCATTTTATCACCCAGCCCTAGTATACAGGTTCATGGGTTCTTATTTACATTGGCTGAACTAATAACTGTTGCAGCATGCCACAGGAGTCACCGTCCCTTTCTTTTCTTGCTTCAAACAAATGTTCAAACCTTTAGTGATTTTTAACAACAGATGTAACAAATCTTTAATATGTTAATCTCAATCCTCAGAACTAAAACAAAAATGGAGGTGGACTGCTAGCATCTTCATCTGGTTGTGCTTGTTTGTGCAATGTTTTGCACTGAAAGATGTCCCCAGAAATATGTTGTTTGCCTGGTAAAGGAGACAAAAAGTTACGCTAGTTTTGGTTCTAAACCCAAATTCGCAACAACCGTTTTGTGACCCTTCCCAGTCAGATCGCTCTCATTGGCTATTGTTGGTTTCTGCTCATTCGTCCTATCGCTGTTCCTTCCACACTTCACCACTCGCTCAGCCCCAAATCAGCAACGCCCCAACTTTTGTTGGGAGGGGAGAATGGAACCTGAAATCGTTATGAATATCCTCTAGTGTGGGGCGACCTTGGTGAACCATTTGGTGCTAAGGCCATGTTAGTTAAACTGTGTTAAGCAACTTGAATTAGTTATTTGATTATTAAATGTAAAAAGTTTTCTCTAATAGTTGATGCAAGTGCTGTCTCCAGTAGATCTGGGAACTAATGACCAAGAACAGTTAATTTCATCTTTTATATTCCATTATGTGGAAACATATTTCTGTAAGTTTCTGTTAGTTTGACGATATGAAACTTGGAGTCTTGTTGTCCTTAGAGTAATAACGGTTTGCTAATAGCTGCTCTGAGCAGACACTTGCCTCCCAGGATGGCTGGTGTTCCAACAAAGACTTAAATCTTTCTGCTTAAGGAGCTATTAATTAGCCTGCTCTTAGAAACTAATAGGACTCTAAATTAGTGCTTTTTATATGGTTGGTGCACTTGAAAGGTCAACTTGCTGAGCCTTATATATAGAGAGAGAGAGACGATAGAATCAGTTTGAAGATAAATATATGGTATCCTGTCTGACACACAGGTGCCCAATTATAGTGGTCAGAACTCGTAAGTGTCATTCATTACTGTTTGTGTGTGTGTGTGTGTGTGTGTGTGTGTGTGTGTGTGTG